TCTCATCTCCTCCCGTCTCTCCTCTTCTCTCTCTCCTCTATTCTCTCTCTCTACTCTCTCTCTCTCTCCCCCCCCTCTCTCTCTCTCGTCTCTCTTTCTCCACTCCCCCCCCCCCACCCTCTCTCTCTCGTTCCTCATCTCTCCAATCTCTCTCTCAATTCTCATCTCCTCTCTCTCTTCTCTCTCTCCCCCCCCCCCACCCTCTCTCTCTCTCTCTACTCTCTCCCCCCCAACCCTCTTCTCATCTCTCTCGTCTCTCTCTCTCTCTCTCCGATCATTACTCTCCGCTCTCTCTCTCTCTCTCTCCAACCCTCTCTCTCTCTCGTCGCACCCTCTCCTCTCCTCCCTCCTCTCCCCCTCTCTCTCTCTTCTTCCAACCCCCTTCATCTCTCTCTCATCTCTCTCTCCACCCCCACCCTCTCTCTCTCGTCTCTCTCGTCTCGTCATCTCTCATCCGTCTCTCTCTCTTCTCTCCTCCTCCCTCTCCCCCCCCCCACCCTCTTCTCTCTCTCTCTCTTTCCCACCCCACACCGCTCCTCTCGCTCTCCCCCCCCCCATCCTCTCTCTCTCCTCTCTCTCTCTCTCTTCGTCTTCTCTTCTCTCTCCTCTCTCTCTCATCCCCCCCGCCCCCACACCTCTCTACCCTCTCTCTCTCCTCGCTCGTCAATCTCTCTCTTCTCTCGATCTCGGTCTCATCTTCACGCCTCTCATCTCGTTCTCTCTCTCTCTCTCTCCTCTCCCCCCCCCCACCCCGCTCTCTCTCGCTCATCTCCGCTCAGACGTCTCCTACTCCTCTCTCTCTCTCTCGTCTCTCATCTCTCTCTCTCTCTCCCCCCCCCCTCTCTCTCTCTCCTCTCTCTCCCCCACCCTCCCTCTCATCTCTCTCGTCGCTCTCATCTCTCCTCTCTCATCTTCTCTCTCCTCATCTCACGTCTCTCTCTCATCTCGTTGATCTCTCTCTCTCTCGTCTCTCGCTCTCTCCTCCACCACCCTCTCTCTCTTCTCTCCTCCCTCTCCCCCCACCCTCTCTCCTCTCGTCCTCCCCCCCCCCCCTCTCTCTCTCTCTCATCTTCTCTCTCCATCGTCCTCTCTCTCTCTCTCTCTGCTCTCCCTGCCCTCACCCTCTCTCTCTCGCATCTCTCTCTTCTCTCGTCTCGCTCCTCTCCTCGCTCTTCTCTCTCTCTCGTCCATCTCTCTCTCTCTCTCTCTCTCCCCCCCCCCACCATTCTCTCTCTTCCTCTCTCTCTCTCCTTCTTCCCCTCCCCCCCCCCCACCTTCTCTCTCCTCTCTCTCTCTCCACCCCTCTCTCTCCCCCCACCCTCTCTCAGTCTCCCCCTACCCTCCTCTCTCTCTGTCCTCTCTCGTCGTCTCCGAATCTCTCTCCGTCTCTCTTCTCTACTGTCCCTCCTCCACTCTCAGTCTCTCTCGTCTCTCTCATAAAACTCTACATCCCTCTCTCTCTCCTCTCTACCCTCTCTCTCTCTCTCTCTAACCCTCTCTCTCTCTCTCTAACCACCCTCTCTCTCTCTCTCTAATACAACCCTCGTCTCTCTCTCTCTACACTCTCTCTCTCTCTCTACCCTCTCTCTCTCGTCTCCTAAACCCGCTCTCTCTCTCTCTACCTCTCTCTCCTCTCTCTAACCTACCCCCTCTCTCTCTCTCTCTACCCTCTCTCATCTCTCTCTAAACCCCTCTTCTCTCTTCTCTACTAACCCCTCGTCTCTCTCTCTCTACCCTCTCTCTCTCCATCTCTACCCTCTCTTCTCTCTCTACCCTCTCATCTCTCCTCTCTACCCTCTCTCTCTCTCTCTTCTCTCTCTACTACTTCTACCCTCATCTCACTCTCTATAACGCTCTCTATAACCCTCTCTCTCTCTAACTACCAACCTCTCTCTTCTAAAATCTCTAAAACCCTCTCTTCTCTCTCTACTACCCTCTCCTCTTCTCTACCCTCGTCTCTACCCCTCTCTCTCTCTCTATGCTACCTCTCTCTCTCGTCTCCCTTACCCTCTCTCATACCTCTCTCTCCTCTACCCTTCTTTCTCCTCTCTCCCCCCCCCCTCTCTCTCTCTCTCTCCTCTCTCTCCACACCCGTCTCTCACTCTCTCTCTCCTCTCCCAAACCAATCGTCTCCAACCCTCTCTCTTCTCTCTCGTCTCCAAACTCACAACCCTCTCCTCTCTCTCTCACTCTCTCCTCCACCCTCTCTCTCTCTCGTCACTCTCTCCTCCACCCTCTCTCTCTCTCTCACTCTCTCTCCACCCTCTCTCTCACTCTCTCTCTCTCTCTCTCTCCTCTCTTCGTCTCTTTTCTCTCTCCTAACCTCTCTCTCTCTCTCCGATCTCTCTCTCTCTCTTCGTCTCGTCTCTCTCTCTCTCTCCTCCTCATCTCTCCATCCCCCCTCTCTCTCATTTCTCTCTCTTCTCTCTCCTCTCTCACTCTCTCTCCTCTCTCTTGTCTCTTCTTTTCTTTTATCCATCCTCCCGCTCTCTCGTCTCTC